AGAAAAGAACACTTACACAATGTTGGTGGGACCTCATGCTAGTACAACTTCTATGGAAAATAGTATGGAGATTCCTCAAAGAACTAAAAGTAGACCTACTATTTGTTCCAGCAATCTCACTACTGGGTATTTACCCAAAGGAAAAAAGGACATTTTATAAACAAGATACTTGCACTCGAATGTTTATTGCAGCACAATTTGCAATTGCAAAGATTTGGAATCAACCCAAATGCCCATCAATTCATGAGTGGATTAATAAATTATGGTATATTGTTACCATGGAGTACTACTCAGCCATAAAAAATGATGATTTAATACTTTTTGTAACAACCTGGATGGAACTGGAGACTAATCTCGTAAGTGATGTATCCTAAGAATGGAAAAACAAACACCACATATATTCACTATTAAATGGGAACTAATCGATCAGCACTCATATGGACACATGGAAGTAAAACTACTCACTGGTAATTAAGCAGGTGGGAGGGGGAAGGATGGGAAGGGTGAAATCATACCTAACAGATACAATGTATACTATCTGGGTGATGGGCACACTTATAACTTAAACTGTACAAAAGCAATTCATGTATCCAAAATATTTGTACCCCCATAATATTCTAAAATAAAAATTTATGCCTGCCTGTTCAATAGAATGAATTTTCCAATCAAAAATAAATATTTCAATAATACGATTGTAACTGCTTTAGCCACTTCATGTGTTCAAAGATGTTATTGTTTGGAAGATAAACTATATGGTCATTGTATATATGAAAGCTATGGCTAGATATTGTAAGACATCTTTCAACTCATAATTTATCTCAAGTATATAGAAGACTTGAGAGAAAAAGACCAAAAAAAAATTTCTTTGAAGAGAATTTTCAGAGTTCTTACTGCCTGCATTGTACTTATTAATACCAAACCCTCCTACTGTGAGGAAGTGGCCAGTGTACTATATCAAAATTTCAAATCTCCCTCAACTCAGTCAGGTTGTCAAGGTGTACGAGAAAAACACTCAGAAATACTACCATTCTCTGGAATTTGGGAGAAATGTGCATTTTGTTTCACTTCCACAAAAGGACTTTTTAGTTGTCTAATTGTGGCTAAAGATATCATTGCCTAGAGACATTTTAAAGAGGCACAGATACAGTGAGGGTAAGCTATAGTTCCAAGAAAATGGAGAATTGTAGAAGAGTTCAAAGGGAAGACAGAAATAGGTTAAAGATACTTCTATTGTCTAAACATTTAACCAATATTTAAGAAGATATTGGTTTAAACAATGATTTTATTTCACTTGTTTATATTCATTTGAGAAGGTATAGAAAAGTTTACTCTTCATAAAAGGATTTTTGTCTGTAATGACATGTTATCTAAGGAATAAGTTAGATATAATTATGTAAATTATATACAAATGTACACTTTTCTAAAAATATTTTAGTACTGAAATACAAAATATATTTTATCATGGTGAAAAACATGTGAACTGGCATTCAGACTCTTCTTATATTATGAAATAGTTATCATTAAACATTTCATTTTATTAACCAGATTGATTTATTAATCTTATCCATAAAAAAGGTCAAAATACACAACCTTTAAAATTATATTTTTCAATGATAAGTGAAGCACTTCAAATTTTATTTGAAATGAATAAAATGGGATTAAAATTATTTGTGTATATGGATATGTATATACATGTGCATTTTTTTACCTGAAAATTGTTCATCACATTCACAAATGAAACTATTTGCAGTAATATTGCTGCAGTTTCCATGGAAACAGACATGTGGTTGACATTGACCAATTATTTCTGAACAATCTCTTCCTATAAAAATGAAAAAAAAAGTTTATTTATATTGCATAGAAGTATTTAATTATGACCATTGGTTTTTTTCCTCAATTCTTTAATAGTAAATAATACTAAATACATTTGATAGAATGTAATTTAAATTATAAAACAGTGTTACATGATCATGCATTTAAATGGAATCAAAATTAGTTTTGGTATTTAATATCAGCTTTTTCATCTTCTGATCAGATACTATAATATTCAAATACTTTTCTGATTCTTGCTAGTTGAGCGTTAGTTAATTTTTATGATAATTTAAAATTTTACCTGTGTTTTCATAGTAGATAATGTTAACACCTGTAGGGACCAGTTCTTCAACATACGCTGGTAGTGCTGTAGTCATAATTTACAAAGTGACACATTCAAATGCATGTCTTAGACCTACCACCTAGCCAAGGGAACAATTCACAAGGAGAAAAGACTGCCTGGATTCTCAGTAGCTGTGCATAAATTTGTAAATTCTACACTTCTTTGCCCTTGCTAATAAAGTAAATATTCCAGATCTCATTTACCCCTACTGTTATGGTCCCACTATATCACAGCCTTGCATAGCATATTTTTCTATGCATATTTAATCATCTTATGATATTCTTACTAGAGAAATGTGCCTAGGCAATCCCAGGACATGTCAAGTGGACAAATGTTGCTACAAAACACTTGCTTTTAATTTGGCAGTTTGCTTTCTTCCCTCAATTTAATTGAGCTCTTAATTAATTTGTAAGGAGTTTTTGCCATTATCATCGATTCATTTCAAGTTCCTTGTATATTGACATGTCTTACTAATGCCTTACTAATGCAGAACTCATCTTTCTTCATTTACCTCTAAACAACTCCAAACACAATGAAAATAAAGTGAAAATAAATATAATTATGTGCCAAATTGTTTTCGAAACGCAAAACTAAATTGTAGATTGTTTAATAGGTCATGTCCTATTTAAATTTTAGTGAGTTTTATGGGCTAAACTGTGCCCCCCCATTCATATATTGAAGTCCTAATGCTCAGACAGAATTTTTAGAAAAGAACACAATTAAGATTAAAAAAAAAAAAAGTCATTAGGATGGGTCCTAATCCAATATGACTGGTATCCTTATAAGAGGAGGAAATTTGAACATAGACACGTACAGAGAAAAGACAATGTGAAGACAGCAGTCTACAGACCAAGCAGAGCGGTCTCAGAAGAAACCAGACCTGCCAATACCTTGATCTTGAACTTTTAGCATGCAAAACTGAGCAAATAAATTTCTGTTGTTTAAGCTATCCAGTCTGTGGTACTTGTTAAGGCAGCCCTAGCAAACTAATTCAGTGAATATTCTCAATTGCTTTGGTAATTCTACATAGTTCTATATTTCCTGAGATTTTAAAACTGAAGCAATTATTTATAATTAAATGGCATAATAGACTACGCTTAATGTTGTAAAAATAAGTAAGTCATCTTTAGATATTTTATGGTGCTTAAAATTTAATGATTTAAAACACCTATGGCTGTGTTTCAAATAAATAAATAAACTAATCTTGAGTAAGAAACAAACCACTCTATGCAGTTACAATAAAACCTCTGATATAATATTTCACAAAATATGACTGCATACATATAAATTAATATTCTGATACATGGTAGAAATTTTCTAGCCAAATATTCTTTAAAACTCTTTGACTAGGTTAAAATGTATGCTTTAGAGGCTTATTTAAATTTCTTTTTATTCACCACAAAACAGCAATTTGAGTGCTTTCACTTTTGCTCTAGCCTGCCTGAACTTTTAACTACCTGATACACCCCAGCATAAGTCAGGGGTGTAACTCCTACCTTTATCACCAAGGGCAGTAGAGTTAAATGAGAATTTGAGTCCTGTTATAGAGACAAGGTGTTCAGTGGATATTGTTGGAATTACCTTCTTAAATAGCCTTGGTACTTCCCTACTATCAAGTCCAAAATTACTCTTTGAAATATCAGACTAGGTGAATTTTAGAGCCTACAATGGTTTGTTGAGGTCTTCAATTATATCTTATCACACAGCCTCTTCAAGCTTGGCTCCAGTGAAGTTAGCCCCCAGGCACATGGGAGAAGGAAGCTCCCTAAAGCCTGCCCAACAAAATTACAGTTAGATTCCTGAGTGTGATCTGCTCCAGACACACCTGCTGCTCACCCTCCTTCCTCATGACCAAAATACACTACCAATCCGTTATTCGTCAAATACTTCCCTTTGTTAGATCATCCTAGTCTTACTTGTTTCCCTTATAACTCTCCATGCCAAATCTGTGGAACTCTCATTAAAATAAATTCTTTCATAAGTTTCCAAACTTCAAATGTTCCCTACATTTTCAATCATTCTTTTCACTTTCTGCTAATGGTCCAAATTCCCTGGTGAACTCTCAAGTAGTATTGACTTCAGCCTCAGTTTCCTAACTGATTTACATTGTTTTTAGGTTGCCCTTCCTCTCGCCTAATTACTCATGAAATATCTTCTTTTCACAACCTTTCCTGATCATTGCCTCTCGTTTAGCTTATTACAACCAGTTATTAATTATATCATCTTTTCATCCTTGTCACTATTATCTATACTATAAATTACTTTATAGGTGCGACAACATCCATTAAGAACATCGGTCCTGGCTCCCAATTATCTATTCCTCTCCAACACTGCCAAGAAACTTCAATGACTTCCCCAGGACCACATCGTTTCGTAACTTCCTGTACTCAGATGCATACTTCATTTTCACATTATCACCCAGAACTGTTTACCCAAATATCATGGTCTTGGGAATTTCATTCAATAACTAAAAGCATTTATCTTGTTCTGATAATCTTATTTTTTAATGCATGAGACATTAAGAGTGAGTGTTGGAAAAGAGATGAAAATATTTAGAGAATTTTATATGTTTTGAATCCAAATTTAGCCCATTCTAAGCATCTAGAATAGTTTTTTTTAAATGTATCTTGTTTTTAATTAAGTAATAGTAGCTGAATTCAATTTATTTTCCTACTTTCAATAGAATTATGCTATTTTAAAGCAATCTTACCCGTAAATGGTGGGTGACAGATACATTCACATCCTTGCTTATTCCATTTTCCTCTACTATTAATGCAACTGCCATTATTTTTACATGGTTTGTAAGAACATGCATCAAGTTCCTGGCAGTATATTCCAGAAAATGGAGGCTGACAATGGCATCTGTATGTCTTGTCCAAAACTTCACTAAGACATTTACCATGACCAGAGCAAAATTCTGAACTTAGAGATTCCTGGCAGAACTGCTGTTTCACCGTCACATTTAGTCGAAGTCCCAGTTGACAAAGTAATGGACCACTTGCCATTACCGTGATAAAATAATGTGTCCCAGCACTCAGCCACTGAGGATTAACAGTGTGCATTCCTTTTAGTTTGCAACCAAAAAGCAACTGATCATCCGTCGTGGTATTTTGCACACAGTCAATGAAAGATATTTCAGAAACATTCATCAGATTTATTTCTGGAGATTGAAGAGATGGTTCAGAAGAAATAACAAGGATATCTCCTAGTTGAATTTGCAAAGGACAAATCTGTGGAACAATGTGATTGCCTGGAGTGTCCATTTTAGTGTTTACACCCAAAACCCAGCAATCTCTGTAGAAGTCCATGCAGATGTTTTCTGTTAGTGTCCAATTCACCACATATGATGAGGGCTGTGGATGCCATTCTTTCACCAATTGCTGACTACATGTTGTTTTTCCACTTATAAAACGGCTATAAAGAACCACCAGGCTCAGAATGATGATTGATTTGTTAGTCATTTTGGGAAATTTTATTTTACAGTCTATCATGAAAGTGTGATAAAGAATTGCTGCAAAGTGGTCTTCGAATATTGCTAGAAATTTCCAAGCAGAGTTGTTATTCAGGGATTCCTGGAAATTGGCTTTTTTCTTTTTTTCCTATTCCCAAAGTACAAGTAGCTTTGATGACAGTGTGCTTTGACCAAGAAACAGTAGAATTGAAGGGTTTTACATATTCCTTTAAACAGAAAAACACATTGTTAGTTAAGTTTTCATAAATTACATAATGACATAGAAAATGCTAGATATTTATTTTTAGAACAAAGAAGAGCCTACATTGCAAGGACAGTGTCACTAGCAGCTGTTGACCTTCTTTGGGAAACAAGATCAAGAAAAACAGGGTCAAGCTAGCCTTACAT